AAAGTACAGAGCAACAAATGGTCACGTTGTCTTGGAACGGGATCTCCTGCTTATCCAAGCCTGGACAACCAGGAATTCCAGTATCACACCCTCTGGCACAAAACCTTTTACCTCTGGACACTGAGGCAGAAGATCCATCTGCTTTCCTCCTATCCATGTCAAACTTCCAGGCCCTGACACACTGAAATGGTGAAAGCATTCCAGAAGGAAAAGGGGATTTGCTCCCACTCTCCACCCAAAAACTTCCCTAAATATTAAAGTTTAACCAAACAGCACCTGCTGGAAGAACAGAAAGGCCAACTCACTGGTTTTTGGGAATGCTGAGCCCTCGTGCTCCGGAGCAGAGGCTCCAGGGCTGCGTTTTCCATGCCAGGCAGGAGGGAGTGTTTTGGCCCAGCCCCAGGGAACTCAGAGCTGAGCAGTTCACCAAACAAATCCATGTTAACATTGGGATTTTGGTGTCATAAATCAGGTGCTTTCAGGTGAAAAGGTTCCGGATTGCTCCGACCACACCCTTCCACGCTTCTTGCACTCCAAAGGGCAGCATTTCCCAGCCCTGCCACACAAAAGGCAAAATCCTGCAGCTACAGGAACAGGAACCAGGATGAGTTCTTCCCATTCCATCTGGTTTTCCAAACCCCCTCTGTCTAGGCTTTTCTGGAACGAGAAGCCTCATTTCTTAGCAGTGGGAAGTGCCTCTCGCTCTCCTCAATGCACATCCTGCTTCCAAGTGTTGTTCAATTAAGAATTAACACGGAAAGGAAAACGAGGAGAGCATCTGGAAAAGGACAGGATAAATACAATGGCAGCTGGGAACACCAGGGACAACAGGAGCTGGATTCCAATGATCCCTATGGGCTCCAACTTGGGATATCCTACGATTGACTCATCCATTGCACAACACCCCCAGGTTTTAGGAGGATAATTGGCTGAGGACAGTCCAGGATCCTCCGTGTTGGAGAGATTCCCACATTCCCTGGGGCAGTGACTCCGCCTTTTCCTCGGCCTGCCCAGGTGACACCTCCCCAGCACCTCGTCCACCCGGTCGGAGCTGCCACGGAACGCTGCACTAATGCGAGCCCTGGGATGAGCATGCAGTGAACAAACACAGCGCATTCCCTTCCGCTCCCCTGAGCCAGAAGGATCTGGGTGAGCCCGGAGTCGTTCAAAGCCACCTCGGATCAGTTCCGCTGCCTGAATCCCCTCAGAGGATCCCAAACACCCGGAACCGCGAGTCCTTACCGCGCTTGCGGACGTCCCAATTCCAAAAGTTCGCTTCCCTGTCTTGTCACCCCCCAAGAGAAGGAAAATCTGGCAGGATCATCCCACTGAGGACTAAGCTAAACCTTGTGTGTCCCAAGGAATCAAGGCTAAATGTGAGAATCCTTGGAGTTCCTACCCAGAAATGGCTGGAAACCAGGGTTCCAGGTTTCAGGGGAACAAACATGCAAGGAGCCAGCAAATCCATGGACACAAAACATGGATTTTGGTATGAAGGACATGGGAAAAGTTGGGAACATCAAACCCCTCAGGAGTGCCTGGCCTGCACATAGAGAATCATGGAATTGTTATTAAGGTTGGACAAGACTTTTAGGATTATCAAATCTAACAACCATGGAATTGTTAAGGTTGGAAAAGACTTTTAGGATTATCAAATCCTACAAGCAACCCCCTAACCCACATCCCCAAGTATCATATCCATATGGATTTTAAATCCCTCTAGGAAAGGGGACTCCACCAGTCCCTGCTGCCCAGGGCACCATCCTTCAGGGCTTCACAACCTCCTCCATGAAGAAATATTCCCAATATCCAACTTAAACCTCCCCTGAGTCAACTTGAGGCCGCTTCCTCCTGTCCTGTCATTTGTTCCCTGGCAGAAGAACCCAATCCCTGGCTCCCACATCCAGTCATGGAGTTGTAGGGAATGAGAAATTCCCCCAATCCTTTTCTCCAGAATAAAACACATCCTGCAAACTCACACATTAGATAACAGAGAAACTTCCAACACTGGCATGTTCCTGATTTCCCTCCCCAAATTCCCGCTCCCCACCTCACAAGGGAATTTCACCAACTCTGCCAGTATTCCCAGGAGGCTCCACACTTACTCAGCCGCCCATTCCTGAGCATTTTCTGCAGCTTCCCACATGCTTCCCACCTCCCAGCTCGCCTCTCCTCATTCCTCCGCCCTCATCCAAGGGGAACACAAAGTCAGAGCAAGGCCCCAGAGAGTCCCGAAATTCTCCTTGCCAGCTGGGATTCCATAAGGCAAAGAGTTCCATGCCACAAATCCCTTTATCTCAGGCTCCATCAGGCCTTGGAATAACCATGGATAACACTGGATTTGGGGATGTGCCTGTTTCCTATGGAGTTAAATTTGATTATGGCACTGGAGGTGTTCATACGAGCTCAGGGAGAAAACATGATCCCTTCTTTTTTTTAAGGGCCAAAAGACTCTTTTCCAAAAGCAACACATTGATCCAGGAATAGCCACAAAATTTAGAGGGAAGAAGGTTTTCCAGACAAAGCAACCTGTGGCTTCCTGCAGAAGTTTTAACACCACAATTCCACAAAGGGAATACTGCCTCTGGATTTCTCAGTGAATTTTGAGGAAAGCTCTAATCCTTCCAGTTTTGGAACATGGATGTGTCTTTTTCCACTAGAAAATAAGGGAGAACTGACAAAGGCAGAGGGAAGAGCAATCCCACAGAGCACAAAATCTCTCCACAAAATTTTCCCTTATTCCCTACTCTGTCCAGGGAAGAAAATGAGCAGCACAAATCACAAATTCCTGCTTTTATGGGAAGTTTTTCTCCTTCCTCTGACAGGGCATATGCTTTCCCCTCTGCAAGGAAAAATCCAGTTCATCCCTGAATGCTCTCATTTAGGGAAATGCTGGTTGTCATTAGCGGATGCTCTGGTGCCATGGAGATGGTGACAAACAACTGAATCAGCCGGAAAAAACCCGGAGTCACAAAAAGGGGAAATGCTTCCAAAGGTTAAACGTGGCCCAGAGGTACATGAAGAACATTTATAGGATATGGATATCACCAGGAAATAAGGTGCCCAGGGAAGTTGTGGCTCCATGGAAGTGTCCAAGGCCAGGCTGGATGGGGTTTGGAGTTACCTGGGATAGTGGGTGAGCTTTAGGGCCCCTTCCAACCCAAATCATCCCAGGATTCTAATCATGGCATCCAAGCAGAGCAGGATAAAGTTTTTTCAGGACAATCCCCAGCTGGCTGAGATGCTGGAAGCTCCTAAGCAGCACCTGCCTTGTTCTGATTTTCTGGGAGGTGAAACAGTTCATTTCCCACAGGAGAAAACAGCACCAATTTGCAGGATCATTTAGCAGACCCAATGGGAAAAGCCAAACCTCCAGAGGCTCCCAGTTTGGAGCTGAAATCCATATTCCAAAAATACATCCAGGCTGTGTCAACACCAGGGATCTGGGCTGCAAAGACAAGCCATGGCAGAATAATAAATTTCATCCCAAAGGATCCAAAGCTGTGGAAATTCCAACTTCCAGCAGACATGGAGCAGTGGGACACATCCAAATGGGAACCTTCCAGGGAAGAAAAGCACCTTTCAGGGAAGAAAGGGCTGAATTCCATCCCAACCTCCCCATTTTCTATTTGCTGCACTGAACTATAACAGGAATGTCCTGAATTTTCCTGTTTCTTCTCATTATCCAGTTCAAATGTTTTAAGGTGGCCTGAGGGATTCAGCATTTTATTCCAAAAGAACAAGGATAAGGATTCTGTCCTGCAGCCTGCCTGGATGCAAAATCAGGACCACTCAGATCTGTGGGGATAATAAAACCTCTAGGCCAAGAAATCCCAAGGAAACATGTTCCAGAGGATAAAAGTAGTGGAAAATGCTCATTTAAGGTGGCATTTCCATATTTACTGATGGCTATGAGTGGGATTTTTGCCACTGACTCCTGATGAAATGGCAAATTAAAAACACCAGGAAAACTTGGAACTGAAGGCTCTAAATTACATCTTGTCTCCTGTTTTCAGGGAAAAATTCCTATTGAGCTCAAAGGCAGCCCTGAGGAACCCACTTGTTTTAATTCTACACCAAGGGAACACGTAGGAACCAAACTCTCAGCTGGAAGGGAACAAAAAGCCAGGAATTTTCATGCAATTCCACAGATCTTCAAAGAGGAGCTCAGAAGGCTCCTCAAAGAGAGGGAGGAATGCCAATAGATGGGGCAGGATGAGGATTTCCAGGGATCTGCTGGAGCACAAGGGCAGTGAAGGAAGGATCTGAGTTGAAGAAGAAACTCCTGGATTAAGAGCCCAGGACAGAATTCCTGACAGTCTCTGCCTGCCATGCACATCTCCAGCTCCTGCTGCAAGGAGGAGGAAAATAATCCAAAGCTTTTTTTTTATTTAATCTTCCCAAAGAGATCCAGAGGTAAGGAATCCACTGCCTTCCACTGGAAAGAGGGGAGAAAGGAAAGAAAAGCAGGAAGGAGTGCCTGAAGGTACAGGGCACATTTTTCCTGAAACTCTGTGGGAATTACTTCCTGTATCCAAAATCCCTGCTAGGGTCCAGCAGCATTTCTGTTCATATTTCAGGGCAGGATATTCCTCAGCAGGGCAAACTTTCCCATTTTTTACCAAAACCTGGAAGACCATTCTAATTTCTCCCATTTTCAAAGTCCCAAGCTGGGCAGGTGCTGCACCTGGCAAATTTTCAAGGATTTTTTTTCTCTGATCTCTCCTTAAAAATCCACACAATAAGGTACAGAAACAGACCTAAATTAACAATATAATGTATGAAATAACAAAAATATCAGCTCCAACTGGCTTGGAATGAAGAGCCTGATTGACTCCCATCCATCCCAGCAGGAATAAACCTCCCAGCACTCTCTGCAGATCCCACAAAAGTCCATTTGTCACACTTCCCATGGCACAAAGGCCACTTTCATCTGCTCCCAGTGCCTGAAAAACTCCAGCCCTGCAGCTCCAAGAGCAGATTAAAATGGTTTCACTCACCCCATCTCAACTGCTGCGTCTTTAACTGGAAATTCCTCAAAATCCAGGGCTCAATCCAGCTCAGGATGTTCTTATTCATCAGCTGGATCACTGTTGGGAGCAGAGGTGGAACCAAGGGTCATTCATTTGGGAAAGATGGAGTGAGAGGGGAGGAAAAGTAGGGTGAAGGCTCCCCACAATAAAGCTGCATGGTCTAGGGGAGCTATAAAGGCTTAATTCCCAAAAAAAAGTCTTCAGACAGGACAGGGATGTTTGGGACAGAAGAGAATTCCTGCTGGTTTAGTCCAAGGAAGTTTCATAAATGACAGCCAGGCCTGGGAATGATTGGAAGCTTCTCCAAACTCTTCTCCATCCAAAGCTGAGCAGCTTCCCAAGCTTTACACCCTCCAATTTGAACACTTCTCCTCCCTACATCCTTCAGCTGCCTGGAAAAGACCCCCAAAAACCAGGATTATGCCACTTTAAGGAAAAATTTCCAAGGCACACAAGCCGTAAATCCTGATTTTGCAAATCCATACAATGATAGGGCAGCTCTGAAATCCAAGTGACCTCGTTTGGAGCAGCCAGCTCTCAATTAATTAACTTCCAAGGGGAGGGAGAGCAGAAGGAACAGGACTGAGATTCCCACACAAAATAAAAAAAAAAAAACAAAAAAAAACCCAAAAAAAAAACCAACAAGAAAAAAAACAAGCAGAGGGAGTTTTTTGGTTGCTGTAATTGTTTGTGCAGCGAATTTTAACAAAGTTTCCAAAACGTGGGATTATTTTATTCCTCACATTTTTGGTCATTGGGAGGAGCATTTCCACCCTTCTCACTTTCCCTCCTGGCACAGCACTTCCCTTTAGTCCCATCATTGCACAACTGCTCCTTCCCAGCCCTCTGAAAAGGGAACACAGGGTGGACACAGCCCAGAGAAGTTTCACTTTCTCACCACCCCTTTCCCAGCAGCCACAGAGGGATTTCAGCATTTCCTGTCTCTGGAATTTGGATCTGGCTGTGCAGGTAGCAGGCAAAAAGTGCCCAGTGCCTTAATTTAAATGGGAATTCGGGTCAAATCAGGATTTTTTTTTAGGTCAGCACTGTCAAAGTCAGTACCTGCAGTACATAGTCCATATCCTTAAATCCCTGATTTTGACCCTCCTGAGTAAAATTTTGGACAGCAGAGCTGCCAACTCCCAAATTCCCAATTTAAATCCCCACTTAAAGGGGGAATTTTATCCTGCTCCTTGCTGAAGGGTTTTGGCTGCAGAAATTCCAGGTTATTGGTATCATTTACCACCTAACAGATGCTTTTCCATATCTCTTGTCCCTGTTGGGCATCCCCGACCCCCTCAGCCATTCCCAGTCCAAGCTGGCACTGCTGGAATTTCCCCAGCAGCCTTAAGACCCCCGTGCAACTTTTATGACCCTGCAAACCAACACCTGGCACAACAAACACCTTCCCCCAGCTCAGGTTTCCAACTTGGAGAGCTTCTTCCAGCAGCGTCCACAGGATACACATTTCAGCCAAGCCAATGCCAGAATCACGGAGAGCCCAAAGCTTTCCAAGAGCCACTTCCCACAATTTCATTATCTCCCATTTAAGAACACTCAGCCTGACCACAAAAAGTCGGATGCTTCTCCCTGTCCAGCCAGGAGGATGCAGCAGCTCATCCCCACTTAGTTTCATCCAGGGGGGGATGAATATTCCCACCTGGGAATACTCCTTTCCTTTAACACCACTCCCCAGAGTTTTGCTGCTTTCACGTCCTGGGGTTCTATATCCCACCTTGGTGAATAATTCCATGATTTCCCACCTGGAGCAGGCTCTAAGGACCACGGCATGCACCAGGCTGGGCAATCCCCATTCCCATATTCCCAATGCCAACTGAAGCCTGTCCCAAATACACCAGCAGGTACTAATTCCCAGAATTGGGCACAGCAGGAATTCTGGCCGAGCAGCCTGGCAGCATCCCAGCTCCAAGATCTCGGAGCGACATACCCCTTACTTTCATAAGGATATCTCACTTCTGCAGCTGCCCGCGATCCTAAATTTGGGAATTTTACGGCCGCGGCTCAGCATCCGCCCGCGTTGCTCAAGTCAGGTACCGTTCCCTGCGGGAAGTAATAAAAGCTGGGAGCAAGAATCCCTGTGTCACACCCACAGCGCAGCTTCTCCCTGGACATCCAGCAGCACCGCTCCCGCCTCCCACCGCAGCATCCCGACTCCCGAGCGCCGGGATCACCTTCACGCCTCGCACCTGCCCGGCCCGGGATGGCGGCTTTCCAGAGGCGCAGGTGGAATCCCCCGCTCCCCACGGGGCGCAGGCCACACGGCGCGGGGCCCTCCCGCCGGGACCGCCGCCCTTCCCGCGGGATCCGGAGCCCTCGGGCGGCGCGGGCCTGCAGCCCAGCGGGGCGGGGGGCGGCGGCGGGCGCTCCCCCGGCCCTGCCAGCGCCCTCCCGGCTCCCCCGCACCTGCCGCAGCGCCGGCCCCCGCCGCCGCGCCGTGCCCATCGCCGTCCCTCACCTCGCTCCCGCTGCCGCCGCCTCGGGAGCGCCGCGGCCGCCGCCGCCTCCTCCATGCCGGGGGCCCTGCGGCCCCCGATTCTCCAACGCCGCCTCCGCCCTGCCGGGGCCGCCCCCGCCTCGCCGGGGCCGCCCACTGCGTCAACTGCGTAAGGGCCGCTACGCAACCTGCGGTCGCCACGACAACCGGGGGTGCGGGGCGCGGCGGCGCCGCCTGGTGGCGGCCGGCGGTAGCGCCACGGGGCGGGGCAGTGGCGGGCCGGCCGCGATTCCAGCGGGGAATTCTCGGCGGGATCCCGGGAACCAATCCCCCTGCTGCGGGCAGAGGCCGCTCCTGGGCTGATGCTCACCTGCCCTACCCAAATTATGACGGAAAGATCCCACTAGAATCACAGAAGGGTCCCACAGAAACCAATTCCCTGGGAAAAGACCTCCAGGACCACCGAGTCCAACCTGTGACAATCCCTGCCTTGTCACCCAGCCCGGAGCGCTGAGTGCCACATCCAGGCATTCCTTAAACACCTCCGGGGATGGGGACTCCACTACCTCCTTGGGCAGCCCCTTCCAGTGTCTCATCACCCTTTCCATGAAGAAATTCCTTCTGGTGTCCAGCCTGAACTTCCCATGGCACAAGTTGGGACCATTTCCTCTTGTCCTGTTTCTTGTTCCCTGGGAGCACAGCCTGGTTCCAACCTTCCTCCCCCTCAATCAGAGAATTCAGGGAGTAATAAAATCTCCCCTCAGCCACACGTGGGGCTCTCCCAACATCCCTTCCCTCTGGAAAACTACCCAGTATGGCGCTGTGGTCTCCCTCATGGAGAGCACTCTGCTTTTAATGCCCAGCATGGAAAAGCAGTGCTTTCCCATCAGGAAAAAATGTTCCCAATAAAGATGGAGAGAGCCTATTCACAAGGGTATGGAGTGACAGGAAAAGAAGGGATGGCTTCCCACTGACAGAGAACAGGGTTAGATGGGATATTGGGAAGAAATTGTTAGACCCTGGAATGGATTCTGCTGGGAAGCCGTGGCTGCCCCATCCCTGGAAGAGTCCCAGGCCAAGCTGGACCAGCCTGGGAGTAACCTGGGGCAGTGAAAGGTGTCCCTGCCTATGACAGGAGAGCTGGAACTGGATGAGCTGTAAGGTCCCATCCAACCAACCCCCCTCTTCCCAAAAAAACCCTTGTGAGGATGGACACACCACAACAACCATCCCCTCTGGGAGGAAGGACAGCGATTCCCTTTGAACACGGCAGCTGCCATCATCCAAGGACACAACTTAGATGCTCCTACTGCAAAAAAAAGGCATTGAAAAATAGCAAAAAAAAAAAATTAAAAAAAAATCTCTGTCCCAGAAAAGCTGATCCAGCAGGGAATAGCAGCGCATCCTCGCCTGCCCATTCCTCCTTAAAGCAAGTGGAGCAGCCTTCAAATGGTCTGCTGGGTGATATCACCGTACCTGGGAAATAAAACAGCCTGACAGGGGCGGAAAAACATTCAGGAAAGGCTTTGAAGCTCCGGAATTCATTTGTGCCGAGGCCTTTGTATCCCGTTCAGGCAGAAAAATCCCCCTCACACTCATTCCCAGTCCCTTTATCTTCCCAGACAGGTGCAAAGTGGCTCCGCTTTGGATGAAAAGCTGCTGCCAAATTTAGCATTCCAACAAATCGTTTCATCCAGCCTGTGGCGCTTCCAAGGTCTCCCTTCAGCACGATCCGCTCTCCCGGCCAGGCAGGCGCCCCTGGAAGCCCCAAAACCTGGAGCAGACAGAGGGAAGAAGCTCAGGAAGATTGGAAATTAGGATTTTATTCAGGGAAATACAATCAGAAGCCGTCCAAGGCTTTCCAAGGGGTGGGATAGAGCGCATCCCAGCCCAGATCCTGCCAATTAAGGGACACAAGGCGATTAATCCGATACAGCTCAGGACTTCTGCCTTCCAGCAGCTCCAGCTGCCCCTTTCCAGCCTGGCTATGCTGAATTGCAAGGGCCAGACCCCATTTATAGCCCAGCTCCAGGGCCAGGATTCACCCCAGTGACCCCCAGGGCTCTGTTCCCTGACTCCTGTATGGCAGTGGCACCATTTACAGGCAATTTTGGAATGTTCTGGATGAACTGGATGCCTTTTAAAGCATTAAGGGAAGGATTAATGCCCTCAGAAATCCCATTTTTTCTCTGCTGTCATGACACGGAGGGCGGGTGGCGAAGCATTTAAGGGAATTAAGGAATTAATTTGAGCCTGTCACAAAAGATGTGATTTTCCCTGATTTTCACATGGATCTGTCCCCACCTCCAGCCTCTAGAGCAAATCCATTCATTTCAGAGCTTCCCAACCTGTGGGAAAGGGTTGAGGCTGGGTTTAAATGCCTGGGGCAATGGTGTGGTGATGTACACACATTCCTGGGAATCCCACACCTTCAGAAGGATGTAAGGGAGAGTTAGAGTATCCCACACATCCATCAGCTGGGTTATCCCTCTGGATTACTCAGATGCAGTGTCTCCATCAGGGCATCACCAGCCATTTCACAAGCAAACCTCCAAAGGTTAAGGAATTGTTATTCCTCACTCACCTCTGGATGGATCTGTGCTCTTTGTGCAGGAATGACCAGGGAATACGAGGGAGAGGGAATTCTGTGGTGTTCTTCCAGCTGGAGCATCATTCCTCCACACATGAATATGGCATGGGGCTGTTCCACACCACAGCCTTGAAATTCTCCATACCAGCTCCCAGGAAAAGGCTGGACCGCTGTAGGCAGCCTTGGAGCTCTGGAGATCCCTGGAATGTGCCAGGAAGGATTCAATCAACAAAGAGCCCATCCAGCTGGGTGTCCTGAAAAAAAAAGCCAACAGATTCCAGGGTTAAGGATTCTCCTAAACCTAAAAGCAAACCAAGCCCTCCTCCAGGGAATTTGGACAAGGAACAAGGCTCCAGGAATAGCTGGGAACATGGGAAGCTTTATATTATTATTCAGTTTGTTGTCATTGCCACCGCCCCCAGGCGCAGCACATCCAATCCCGCTGCTCCGGAATCCTGCTCCTGTTGGGCTCCCAGTCGGAGTCAGACGCTCCGTTACTCCCAGGGTAACGAGCCCCTCTCCTCCTCCATCCCAACCCTGCCAATTTCCCTCAGCTGCTCCATTAGGATTACAATAAATCACAGGGAAGCAGCCTGAGCAAGGCTGGGAGTGCGGCAATCTGGAGCAGGGATTCCAGCATCCCGGTTATCCAAACCCCTCCTCACTCCTCAGCCCCTGCAAACACCAGCCTGGGCTCCATCACCCCTGGAGCAGGCACAGGCTGTTCCAGCTGGCTGAATCCCAAGGAGTGACCGCAGCAAGTGTCGTGGGAAGGTGCTTTTGTCCTTCTCAGAGGGGACAGGCCGCCAGGGAAAGGTGGACAACAGCGTTATCCTGACATTTCCTCCAGGGGAAAGCATTCCAGCACCTCACTCACTGTCTCTGTAGGGAATATCAGTTACTGAAGAATTGCGGTTGGAAAAGCCCTCCAAGATCACAGAGTCCAACTGTTCCAAGGCCACCACTAACCCATGTCCCCAAGTGCCACATCCACATGGGTTTTAAATCCCTCCAGGGATGGGGACTCCAGCCCTGGAGCCTGTTCCAATGCCTGACAACCCTTTCCATGGAGGAGTTTTCCACCCTACCCAATCTAAGCCTTCCCTGGCACAAGCCAAGGCTGCTCTCTCTGTGCAGCCGACCGTAATCCCACACGAAATTCCCACCAAACCACACAGCTGCCAACCAGAATTCGGGAAGCGCTTTTAAAAAGCCACACCAGCAGGCATTCCTGTCCCCCATTCCCGTGTCACCAAGCAGGAAGTGCCTGTGTTTGCTTCCATCCCCGTGGTGACTGTGTCTTCTCAGCCCTCCCTTCTTCCCTCCCTTCCCAGCGTGATTCCCACCCGCGGCTCTCTGGAGGCATCAGCCTCCATCACCTCCTGCCAAAGCGCTGCTAATCCAGTGCCTCCAGACTGTTCCTGCTCCTCAAACCCTTCATTATCCCGGCAGATCTCTACAGAAACCTGCTCTTCCCCGATGCCCCCCAAGCCAGCACCTCCTGGCTCGACCCTCTGTGCAATTCCCAGTCCCTGGGAAGCTCCCAAAGCAGGGATGAGCAGCTGGCAGTGTCCCCCCAGCAGGAGCAGCTGCTGCAGCTCTGCAGAGAAACAGCATCACTCAAACCTTCACTGAAAATCATTCCCTAATGGAGAGGCTTCTCCTGCACTCTGGATGTTTGGAAAAATCTCCCTCTCCAGCTGCCTCAGCTTTCCATGGCTCCTCCAGCACTGGGAAGGGATTTGGGGGGCCCAGGCTGCTGTGCCACCCCTGAGCCTGAATCCCTAAAAAGCATTTAATGCAGAGGGGAGACATCCCAGCCAGAGCCAAACCTAGGGAGAGCTGGTGCAGGGATGAGCTGGAAGCCCAAATTCAGGCTCAGGCTGGCACACTGGAGGCTGGAATACCAGCCAAAGGCAGGGCACAAATTGGGAAACCTGTCAGGCACCTGAAGGGATCAGACACGGAATTCTGGAATGGTTTGGGTTGGAAAGAACCCTAAAGATTATCCCATTCCACCCCTGCCGTGGGCAGGGACACCTCCCACTGTCCCAGGTTGCTCCAAGGCCCATCCAACCTGGTACTGAATGCTTCCAGGGATGGGGCAGCCACAGCTTGTCTGGGAAATCCATTCTGGTGCCTCAACACCCTCACAGGGAAAAATTTCTTCCACAAATTCCCAAGGTGTGGGCAGCACCAGGTCCCACCGCAGGGAAGGAGGGCAGAGCAAGGCCGGCACATTCCCTGCTCCTTCCCTTGGGCACAGCTCTTCCCATTCCCACCTGCACAGGCTGGTGACCCGTCCCCTCCCTAGGAACCCCCTTTCCAGCCTCCAAGCTGCTTTCCTAGCGGGATCTCTCCCTTTTCCCAGAGGTTCCCACGCTGTGGGCTTGCTCTTGGCACGTAGTAAACACTCCCGTGTGCACACGGCCGGGTTTGGCTGCACGGGAAAAGCCTGGAAAGGATTTCTCCCACAGGTTGCATCCTGGAATCCGGCACAGCCCTTGCTGCTCACGATTCCAAGCACAAACTCCTCTTTCCAGCTGCTTTGCTAAATTGGTGCCAGATCTAACTCTGGAAGCCAAGCCTCGGAGACTTGCTATCAATCCCGCCAGCGCTTCCCCCTCCCGAGGACATTATCCAGCATTATCCAAGCTGTGACTCCTCAGCCCAGAAATTTCTCCCTGGGAAGGAGCCATTGCCATGGAAAAGGACCATTAAATAACAGTTCACTGGGGTTTCTCACCACTGCTCAGCAAAGCTCAGGGCATCTTCCTGCCTGGCAGCTCCAGGTGGCTTTTCCTTCGGGAAAAATGAGAGGATAAAGCAGTGCTCCAGGCTGTCGGGATATTTGCCAGCGTCCTCCATGCTCCCCCTTGGACAAACCCATCTTTCCAAAGCTTTTTTCGCCTCAGGTTGTGAAAGCCTCGTTGTTCTGCAGGGAATTAAAAACAAAAAAAAAAAGTGTGGAAATGAACCCTAAAGGCTTTGGGGGGAGGAAAATGCAAACCCCCGAGCTCCCCTGAGTCACAGGGATGTGCCAGCAGCACTGGCAGCCGCTGGAATTCCCGGCTCCATCCCAGCCCTGGCTAATCCAGGTGCAATAACAACGTGTCATTTCCCTCATCTGCTTCACCCCCGCCAAAATTCCTTCATGTTATTCCTCCTCCCCGCCCACCTTTCGAATGCCCTTGGCTCCATCCTCCTTCGGGAGGAGAGCTCCAGCCCAGGAATGAATCAGGATTTTTGCAGGAGCTTTAGGGATGTGGGATGCCTTCACCCCCACAAGCAGGAGCCTTTTCCCAGGGCCCTGTGGCATGAACACAGCTTCCCTGGCCGAGACTCCACAGCACAGGAATTTACCCCGAGGACGAGCTGCTTCCCGATTTCCAGGAGCCCGCTCACCTCCTGGGATGGGAACGGCTGCGGCAGGACGGGGAAATGTGGGGATCAGCTGTGTTGTTCCTGTCAGTGCTCCAGGGAAGCAGTGTCGGAGAGCTCTCCCTCACCAGGCAGCACCTGCAGCCTCTCTGGAAGCCTGGAATGCTGCTGTCAGATGTGGGCACGGCACGGAGGATGCGGATGCTCCGTTCAGGATCCGATCCCTCCCGCAGGCCACGTCTCTGGACATCAGTCGGATGCGACTGGAGAGCAGCAGCTGGAGCCAAGGCACTCGGATAATTTCATTAGGTCAAACCCCTCCCTCCTCTGCCTCCTCAGGATCCTGCTCTTGCTTCTGGTGGACTGAACCAAGAGGTTTCCCATTAAGGATTCCTTCCTGGCTCGGCTGCTGGCTCCTTTCCCGCTCCTCACACCAGGCTGCAGAGCCATTCCCCACCTCTCCCAGACCTCAAAGCCTTGTCTAACCCACTTGGCTTCATCCCAGCTCCCAGCTGCCGGAGGGGAAGCTCAGCTCTCACCGGGAGGCACGGCTGCCCGTGGAGATCCCAAATCCTAAATTGCAGCACAGCTCTTCCACAAAGCCCTGGCAGAGACCTTGGGATCACCACCCAGCAGGCAGGCAGGAGAGGGACCTCAGAGCAAAGCAGAGGCTGGAGACCAATAACCGGGAATAATTATCCTAAGGAGAAGTTCCCAGCTCCCTTCTGTGAAATACAGCAGGGAATTATGTCTTAATCCAGAGAAGAGGAGGCTCAGGGGGAACCTTCTCCCTCTCCATGATTCCCTGATGGGGATCAGGCTCTACTCCTAGGGAACAAGGGACAAGACTCAAGTTGCCTCAGGGCAATTTCTCTTTGGATTTTAGGGAAGATTCCTTCATGGAAGGGTTGAATCAATCTGTCCAGGGCAGTGGTGGAGTCTCCACTCCTGGAGGGATTTAAAAGCTGAGTGGATGTGGCATTTGGGGACATGGATTAATGGTGGCCATGGCAGAGCTGGGTGGCTGAACTCAATCTTGGAGGTCCTTTCCAGCCTGAACAGCTCCTGAAGGAGGGGAACTGGAAAAGATCAGTCTGGAAAAAAAAAAAAATAAAAGTGCAGCAGGCAGGAATGTGAGCAAACAGCCCCTGTCCAAGCTTTGTCCAAGAATCCCTGGGAGAGGAGCGTGCTCTGATGTCAGGACTCTGTGCCACAGTGACAGGAGATGGGAAGGATCCAGAGAGGCAAAAAGGGAAGCGGGAGAGGGTGTGCCAGGCAGGATCCGCCTCAGACACTTAATGAAGGAGAAAAGGACGGATGGTTGCTAAGGGAAATGGGACAGATGGCTGGCACCGGGAACTTGCTGACTCTCGGAGACTCCAAACTCTTTTTTTGGGAAGTGGCAGGGCCGAGCAGGCCGGCACACAGCGGCCAAGCCCCGATGACCACTTCCCCTTCCCCCGGCCCAGTGTCAGGACGGATCACGCCGGAGCGGAAAAGGTCACGGAGACAGCGGGAGCCAAGGCTCATTTGTGCTTCTGCTCATCACCAGCGCTCCCCCCGCCTGCCCTCCATCCTCCCTGCTCCAGGGGTCACCAGCACCATCCCACGGGCAAATCCCAGCAGGCCCCAGGACAGTGACCGGGCTCCCAGAGAGGGAAAACAGCA